AAAAAAGCACAGGTAAAACATATCCAATCACAACTAAAATAAATCATCACATCGGAGTTCCCCTACTCAATCAACAATTATTTACAAAAACCATTTATGTCTGCATCATAAATAAAAATTAAGCCAAAGCATCCGGCGTAGATTCAGAAAAACCAAACTCCTACACGCCGATATCAACCTAACAAAACCAGAAAAAAACAGTCGAAAAAGTCCTAGACAAGAAAATAAAATAATACTTACACCTTTCCTAGTTATTATTTAGTTAAACTCAAAACACGAAATAAGCACAGATACCGACTAACATGGTTACAAGACTAATGGCCACAAATACTTTAGGCATGTACCAAGAAGCTGACACTAAAGATGTTGATAAGCGTTTCGAGCTGGCCAAAGGAGCATCAACATTGTCACGTGTGGCTGAATCATGAGGTTGTTCGACTTTAATTGCTTCCTCAGAGCTTGATTTCTTCACTTCGTCTGGTTTATGTACCTCAGCTACATTCTTGTCCTGCAGAAAAAACAACGGATTAATTGAGATTCTTCTAATTACCCATGTAATAATCAAATCCAGACATTTTTAGCTCGAGTTTGATTACTATACAGACAGTGTTTTCGAGTTCCTTCAAACTATTTATTGTAAATGTTTGAGGTCTTTCGTGCATGGTAAACTATTATTAGCTCAATTAACACGAGGTCTATTTGTTTGATTCAAGATTTCACTCATCTGGTATTTGATAGTGTCGTGCTCAATTAACTTCAAGTTAAGTATTGTTCGAATTTCTGCGTAGGAAAAACGATCATTTTCCTAATTAAAAAAAAAATATATAAAATAAAAAATCTCTCACCTCAGAAGGGTCGGGTTCACGGGTCGTAATTTCACCATCAGCGGACTCTTTAGGAAGGCTGCACTGCACGGGCCCCACTTGAAACTTCTTCTGCAGCCGAATTCTTCTAGGTGCAGTTCCCTGGTCAGCCAAGTTCTGGACAGAAGGTTGATTAAAATTCTGGCGAGCCATAATAACAATTCCAGTGCCAGAACCACGGTCCCCTGTAGCAGGGCTGTAATCAACAGTTTTTTCGATATTTGGCAAATTATTTGGGATATGATTGCCAGCAGAACCCAAGTTCCCATGGTCATAACTATCGGTATCGAAAGTAACTTCGCTCTGGAAAGGAGAGAACTCTTGGTTGCTGTTTTCCTCAATCACATCGTGATTCATTAAACATCGTGCATCAAACTAGAGCCAAAAAAATTGTCAAGTCAAATAAAATGTTTTACTTTATTTAAGAAAAATAAGTAAATAGAATGAAAAGGTATTTCTAATAAATCACCTTTTTCATCCATTTTTTGTTCAGTGTTTGAAAACAGAATGGTTCCATTATTTACCTGATCTTGCCACACCTCACCCTCTGATTCACAACTTGAATTACTGTCTTTTGCCAATTGGAGCTTAGTACTCTCAAGGGGCAACATTGAGAAGCTTCCCCCAAAACCCTGATCCTCAGGATCAATAAGCACCGAGTTCAAAAACTCAGTAATATCAGCTGTGGCATTAGATCCATACTGGAAAGGGATATTTTGCTGGCTATGGTTAATGTCCCCAGTAAAACCATCGTACACGTATGGATTTTCAAGCTCCGATTGCATCTGTGAGTACAAAGGAGAGAATATTGTTTGCTGCATGGGGTGACAAAAGTCCGCCAACATTTTTTCCAGATCTGCATTAGACTGAACCAAAAAAAAAAGCAAATAAATAAGTAAATACTTATGGAAAGAAATTCAGCTTGTATGGGATTTTTACCGTGTTCATTTTTCCGATTTCCAGAAGGTTTATAAAATGAAAATATGTCTGATTTGAAAAATGAACTGAACATTTCCTGTCGTTTTGCTTTTTCAATGAAAACATAAACAAACAAACAACTTTTATCGCGACTATGGGAAAATCTAAATGAAAATTTTAACTACAGTTCAAAGCAAATCACTGGAATCTATTTTAAATAACACTTCGAAAAAATCATTAGCTACAGGAAAACCATTAACTTTTGAACTATCCATTTTCAGGACCAGAAATTGTAAATTGGAATGGCAACATTTCCACAGTAGAACTTTGGTTTCCAAGTTCTTTCACCTACCTGAATAGACGTTGTGCTCAACACATTTTCCTCCATCTCATCAGCAACACAGCTATTCACATGCAAGTCAATAGGCAAAGGCGTCACGACAACGTCCTTCTTGGAATCAAAAGTTGCAGGGCTTTCGACACTGGAACGTTGCATTCCGGTGGAACCACCGAAAATATGTGTAACTGACTCTGATTGTTCGTCTTCAGCAGAGAATTTAAATTCACTAGGAGACACGGGAATCTCATCAACTTCATTTACGTTTGAATGTTCGCCATCTTCATCTTTTTTCAGATCAGGCTTTTTGAACAGACGGCAGAGCACGTAGGAACCCTATGTAAAAGAGAAGCATCAATCAGAAACTAAGATACCAAGCAATTTATACCAATTAAATCAATAACAAAATAGTACTCCACATTTCAAATTTCAAATATTTCTTTCAAAAAATGTCACCACCATAACAAAATTTTCAGAACCAATATAAAGTCCAAAATTTCAACCCTGGTGCACTCAGAAAATATTGGTCGTTAAAAACTAAAAGAAAGGGCCAGAATTTTAGCAGCATTAGGCAAACAACGAAATATGGATAACATGACAATTTTTTAGAACACAAAGGTATCTAATGCCACATTTTCAATACAATATCTCACAGTCAAACTTAACTCATGTTTAAATCCAGTTACTCTGTAAAATTTCCCCATCCTTTCACTCGCGTGTAGGTAAACATTACTTAAAGCTCAAAGAGCAACACATCAGGTGAAAAAAATATGTTATGCAACTGCTACATACTAGAACAAAACATCCCAAAAGGATTGCTTAAAATCTACAGTTCTGCGTTGAAAAAACCCAACCTGACCGGGATGTGTGCCATCAAGTGACTTATCAGTGGCGCGATACTCGTGTATCACCCAGGGTGTCCTCTTGCCATCGGGCGCACGACCAATGTAGAAAACCAAAGTCTTCTTCATTCCGATTTTACCCTTTCGGGATTTTATGGTTCTATCTTTACCTGTGGCTTTCCAGTAACCCTTTTCTGTTGCTCTATTCAATCTCTGACCATTTTGATACTTCCTATCCTTTGGGCAGAAGAAGAACCACTCATTGTCGTGAGACTCTACCACGGACAAATCTGCCAAGAAAAAACATTGAGAATTACAACTTCCTGCATATTATGAAGATTCACAACAAACCCGTATTCCAAAAGGCTAGCCACAAGTGATTCTAATTGATCATTATTAATGATAAAAATTGAAATACACTGTCTCACTAGTCACTACCCTTAATTCTCGATCCAAAACCTAAATATAGACCTCATAAACAACAAGTAGAGAATTTTCATATTCCAATTTGTTACAAAAAGTTACAATCAGTTTTGAGACACTCAGTTCAACCAGTTCTCACACAACACAACTTATGAAGATGACCCGCGACTAAAACACTCATGCATTAAACTTAAATTCAACAAATAAAATGAATTAACGAAAATTTTCAAACAAAAGCCTCAATAGATCCCAGATCCACATAATACCAGCAAAACTTGATGCAAGGCACTCACAGAGAAAAGGGATCCAAAGTTTCTTTTTCTTTTTGAAAAGAAACGGCTAATCGGAACCACACACATACACAAATCGATCAGCAATCAAATAAAAGAAAAAACATAAACAAAATAGAGGACATGGAATAAGAGAAGTTACGAGGTAAATCCCAGGGCTCCTGCTTGCAAATATCAATTTCGCGAATCACACTGACTTCCTTGTCACGCCTATTGATTTTGTTCCTCAAATAGTGGTCTATCAGCTCCTCGTCCGTCGGCCGGAATCTGTATCCGACCGGCAAAGCCTTCACCGGAAGAACAGCCATTACCGATCAAGCTACTTCTCCAAAATCACAAAAAAAAAAGGCTGTTAAAGCAAAAAAAAAGTAAGTGAAGGTAAAATTTATAAGACAAATGAAACCCTAGCCGAAATAGATTAAGCTGCTGGGATTCATGGAAATTCTTTGAAGAAAATAATTTTTTTTCATGGAGAGGAATTTTCTGAGAAAGTGAAGGCGACTACTGTGAGCGCGTTCAAATCCGGTGTATATACCGTGTGAGATTGGAAATGCCTATTTTGCCCAAATATGAGAAATCTTACATTTGAGACAAAAATTTAATAAATAAAAGTGCTTTGAGATAATATCATTGTGATTAAAAATTTAATAATATTTCTATTTTTGCTTTTTAAGATTGTAAATATCATAGTTTCAAATAAATCGATTTTGGTTAGAAACTTAGAATTGTGGCGTATTATTTGAAATTTCACGTTCTACTAGATAGATGATGTGATATGTTATTTTGCATTATTTTCAAAGATTTTATTTGTAAGACATTTTTTCCTACAAAAATTAAGAATTAAGCATTATAGTTCAAGAGAAATGCTCACCTACCCACGGTGGGCACATGTTAATATGCCCGGTGACATGCACTCATTGATGATTTATTTTTTAAAACATATTAACATCACCAATAAATGAATGTCACCTACGCGGTGAGTATATTAACATGTACTCACCGTGAATAGGGGAGCATTTCTATATAGTTCAATATTCATGTTTGGTTATTTACATCACATTTTTACAAGTATTATATGGATATTTATGTCTGGATATTTACATCACAATTCATGTTACTAATTAGATTTAAATATAATACTAAATTTATTTGTTTGATTTAAATGCTTATTTTTAGGATGGGTATAAAGGGGAATATATTGAATCGTAACGAAGAAGATAGATATTGGGGAAAGGTAGTCACTCAACCAATGCGAGTTCAACACGTGGTAAAGTGATGTCAGCTTTTGACATCGTGAGTGTGTAATTTCAACGGAGCCACGCAAATTGGATATGTTTTATTTTTTAAAACCAAAAAAAAAAAAATGTTTGATGAATGACATTTTGCGAAGGAAAAAATTATATAAAAATTAATAAGTATATGATATAGTAAAAAATTAATAATTGATGATTGTTAGTTATAGATATATGATTGTAAGTAGAGAACAAAGTAAAACTAACATTTTTTTTTTTTTTTAATTAATGGATTGGTGAGGTAATGTTCAATTGCTCCCAATTACGAAATAAATTTTCACCAAATAGTTTTATGGATATTTTGTTCTTTTTACCATAGATACCAATTATTAATGATATGTGTCTCCTGTGATTGTTCTTTTTACTCCTTGTCAGACTTATATGTGATTATGATACAGATTTAATTAAGTTTTGATTGATTTTGTTAATTATATAAAAGTGGTTAAAATAAAGTTAATTCGTGTTTTTTTATTTTGCACCAAAAGTTACCACGTTCATGGGATAAGTTTTATTTTCCCAACTTTCACTTTATATGTTTGTCCGTTTCATGCAACTAATTAAAGTTAGTGGGGCTCGATGACATGACTATGAAACCCACTTTTAAAAAAGCACTTGTTTATTTATTTATTTATTTATTTATTTTGGTAAATAGTTTATTTAAATATTAATTCGTATAGCAAATGAGTTTAGGCCATTTTTAATTTCACAATTTCGATATAATTTTTTTTTTTTTTTTTTTTCTA